AGTATAGTGTTCTAACTATTCCATTACTTATCTGAAAAATAATGTTTAATGAGTTTGATTTTTTAGGTTGTGAAAGTTTAACTTATAGGATTAAATGTACAACTGAACCTGTTTACACTTGCATTAGAATGTAGTGTTAATCACTGGGAGAGTTGATTGATATGACTAGTTCGAATTAGTAGCTAATATCGCGAGAGCTTGCTTAGCTTAATATGTGTTCATGTTCTAGGAAGAAAATCGAATCAATGGCCTCTAGGAAATTGCCTGAATAGTTTAAACTGTGAAAACCCTGAGAATCCCCGAACGCCCAACGCTTTCTTATGATTGTTTAAAACCAAATTTTATTATCGCTTTGATCACTCTCAAAACTCTGCTTGACTTAGCGTAGTTCTTAGTTTATATTACTATTGAGTGCTCTAGTTCTATGTGGATTCGATCCCTAAGTACTTCGATCGATTGGTTATGCACTTGCAGCCTAGGTTGTTTTATTTTGGGTAAAAATTTTTACCCCATCACTGACTATACGACCTTTCTATTCTATGTCTGACCCTCTGCGCTGCTGTCAACGTCTAACATGCAAGATCGGATGTCGGGATGCTCCCTCGAAAACAACTCCTTTGTCGTTAAATCGTTTTCTTGAGTATGGACCACTTGTTTTTACCTTAGCACGCATAAGGTGAAAGTTCTTTTATGCTTTGATAAAAAACTCAAACATTTGAACAAAGGATTAGTAAGGTCCGAAGATATTTTTTACTTTGCATGAATTCAAGATACGAGAAATTCGGCTGAGTACCCTGTTTTCAAGTAGTGACAGTCGGCTCCTGCTTCAGTTGTGCTTAGTTTCGGGCCTCACTTTCTCCGGATGACGAAGTTTAGTACCCGAGATCTTAAGCTGGGCTCATATGTCTTTATCTTCTATTCTGGGCCATTGTAGATTCATATCCAAACTATTATAGGGCTTCGTTCAAGGATAAACTCCACATGAGGTGTTAAGGACCCACCTTGCCATGCAATACGTGGCACCCAATGATTCACTTAACTCAAAAGAAATGATTTTATCTCTAACAAATAAATATAAGCAATATTATTCTCTGACAAACATAATGAACAAAGAATAAATTTAACCCCTGAAAAATAGACAAGGAAGAAAAGTAAAAAGAATTATAGTTTCATGTCAGATTCTATGAAGGAAAAAATACAGTATTTGTTCAGTAAACAACTATGTTAGATTACAAGGATTGATTGGCCTACAATTTGTTTACAATTCTAATTTGGATCGGATTATTGGTTTTTGTTTATCGAAAGTTTGTTTTCCAACTTTGGTTGGAGTTTCCTCTTCCAGTTTATTCGGATATTATGTTGCAATGGTAAAATCATTCGCCATAAATAATTTGTTCACCTTCTACCTTAGGTATCATCTTTTTTCTATCAGGGAGTTATATCTCCTCTTGGATCTCTGATGATGGACCATGTAGGTCGTGGGGTGTTGTCGTGGGAATTAAGATGATTGGAGGAAGTTTATAGTGAAGGTAAAAAGTTTCATGGTCTTAAGCTTCACTCAGATTCAAGGTGCAAAAGGAGTTTGTGCAAGAGGATACGAGAAAATAGCCGGTGGTGAATTCAGGCAGTACCCTTGGCAAGTTCTGGCTTACAAATGGGTTTCACGATGATGGAAAATATGTGATGGCAATGTTCATCTTCTTCAACCCTTAATCAACATGCGATTCCACGTGGCAGGCATGCCCTAATCGTTATCCTTTTGATGTAACTGGGATTTAAAATACTCAGGGTCGTAAAACTTTTAATTTCTCAAGCCTCTTGTAAGTTGCCCACTAGGCTTTAGTAATGCAATGAATGACGACAACAAAAAAAAATACAGTCTTAAAATTTCAAGATTCGTAATCACCGATTCTATGGTTTTAATTGGATTTCCCTATTGGATACATCTTTTTAACCCTCTAGTTTTTTATATAATTATCTTGATAGGAATACTAGTTGAGTCACGGTTCGAGAGGTTGATGGCGAGGTCGGTCTGGATTGGGAACGGGATGGATACTCTGGTTTGGTCAGAGAAGTGGATTTTTTATCAAACTCCGAGACCTCCAAACAATCTACCTGGCATAATTGATCTTACGCTCAAGGTATCAGACCTTTTATGACGTTGGAATGCGACTCAAGTCAGAAACTTGTTTGTTGTTGAGGATATGCTGAATACATACTAAAACTCAGAGCTTCTCCAATGATGCAAGATACATATTTTTGGGCTTTAACAAAACATGGGGCGTACACATCTCAAAGTGGTTACAGGCTGCTAGATTCAGAACCAGAAACTCAAAGAATTCAACAAGCTACTCTATCTCCTCTCGAAAAACAACTATGATCAAACCTGTGGAAAGTAAAGACCTCTCTGAAGTTGAAACATTTCTTATGGAGAGCCTTGGTAGGAGCACTTGCAGTTGCTGAAAAACTACAATCTCGTGGTATTGCTATAGACCCTACATGTCTTTCTTGTCTTGATAAGTCTGGGTCGATCTGCCATGTCTTGTTCCATTGCCACACTGCTCGAGAAGTTTGGGAACTCTCAGGGATGCCGCTGCCCTCTGCAGGATTCTCCAGAACCTCGGTTATGCTTAACTTTTACCATCTCCTAAAATGCAGCAAAAATCAACATATTAAGCAAAGTACCAGACTTGCGATTCCTAGGCTTCTATGGCATCTGTGGAAAGCTAGGAACAAGGTGGTGTTTGAGAAAGTCAGATACGATCCTCTGTCGATATTCAACAAAGCCAAGGATGAATCTACAATATGGTTGAACATTAATTCTCCTCCACCGATAGAAAGGATTTTGGATGATATCCCCCAAAATGAAAACCACCACGTATTCCCTCAAGTGTAATCTTGGTTCATCATGGATCAACTCGAACCAGAATTGTGGTGTTGCCTGGCTGCTTCGTAATCATCAGGGCACCCCTATGTTCCACAGCCGCAGATCATATTCACGAATAAACTCGAAGCTGGAATCCGAATTGATGAGCCTGCTACGGGCAGCTGAGAGCTTCTCAAACCTACATTTTTCGAATGTTATGTTTGAATGCTCTTCAGATCAACTAAAACAGATCATCCTGCATCCTGATAATTGTCCACGATTGCGCCCTCTCATCATTGATATCAAGCGTATCCTAGGCTCTTTTGAGTTATTGAGCATGGACAATGTCCCTTGTTCGAGCAACCGAAGCTCTGAAGCAATCGGTAATAGTGTAACGAAGGAGCACATATACCAGTCTTGCATAGCTATTGTAGGCCCTTCTTGGCTTCATGCTATTATCATGGAAGCGGAGTGCGCTGTATAACGTGAGAGCATCCCCTCATCGAATTTGATCTTGATCGATGAGAATGCTTACCACCATACGGTTGAGGACCTCTTGTTGGCTCCTAAACCTGAATCTTTGAATATTTCTTTCTGTATAACACCTATTGGTGCTTCCCTTTGAATCTTTGTAACTCGTACTTACCGTCTTCGGTATCAATAAAAAATTTATTCAGCTTTAAAAAAACATAAAATAGTTAATATAATGGTATGTTGAGTAAATGATATAATTTTATCTAATGTCATTTTTTAAAGATTTTAGAAAGGTAATATTTTTTCAATCATGAAATTTCAAAAATGGAATTTTTCAAAAATTCTGTAGAATATGGAACACAAAGTTTTCCTCCTCAACCCAAATCTTCTATATATTAATAGAGGAGACAATAGGTAAAAATCATATGTGTCAACCTAAAAAGGTTTTAAGAAACTCATTTTCTAATAAAAATTATTAAAAATTCTTAATAACAAATATATGAAAATAACGAATATATAGTAATTAATTTAGAGAATTTTATTTAAGGAATATAAAAAATATTTGAAAATATCTTTTTTTTTTCAATAATACTATATTTTTTTATCCGAGTCAAAAGCGGTATTAAAATATTCAAAAATAAAAATTCATGATTTTTTTTAATAGATGGGAGAAATGAAAAAATAACAAAGATAAAATATATTTATGTTTGATCAAAATTTAGCTTTATTATATTTATGCACAATACATATCATTTTTATGTGTTTATAAATGTTAGAATACACGTCTAAATATTAAATTCGATTAAAACATATTTCATTATTTAATCTCACGCTTGGCGTTGATCAAAATCTAGTAAAAACTAATCAGAAGAAAT